AAATCAAAGAGGGTAGGGTTAGGGCTGCAGCCCGCATTGCAGCCTGCTGTTCCCCTTACCTCAGAGGGAGGAGAGCCTCTCCCTCAGTAAAGGTAAATGTTCATTCATGGGTACAGGGGAAGGAGCCCAGGAACCTCCTGCCATACACTGCGTGTGCTGTTATTAGGTTAAGCCATAATTAGGTCCCCATCCCGCTCTCTCGCACGTGCACATCACACAGATGCACACACACGCACACAGGCGCACACTGGCTCAGTGTAAAAAAAGCAGGGCTGAAAGTGGGTTAAGACCCTTGTGCACCTCCTCTGACAGAGACCTGCGCAGGAGCTTGCACCCACCAGCCAGGCCAGCCGAGACAGGATTTATTTAGGGAACAGAGTGCTCGTGCCTGAAGCCCACTCCTTCACAGCACAAGCAGTTCCTGGCTCCTTCCAAACCAACCTCGGCCACAGTGATGATGATCTTTTTTAAAAATCTGGTTTGCATGATGGCCCATTTATTTGCATCCCTTGCACAGGACAGATGTGGGATAATCACAGCAATAAGCTATGTGGGGCACCACATTTAACTGCCCAACAGATATACATCAACTGTGTTCAGCTCAGGGCCCCCAACACCAGAAGGACACGGACCTGTTGGAGCAAGTCCAGAGGAGGGCACAAAGATGATCCGAGGGCTGCAGCACCTCTCCAATGAAGACAGGCTGAGAGAGCTGGAGTTGTTCAGCCTGGAGAAGAGAAGGCTCTGGGGAGACCTTACAGCAGCCTTCCAGTACCTAAAGGGGCCTACAAGAAAGCTGGGGTGGGACTGTTTACAAGGTTAGGTAGTGACAGGACAAGGGGTAATGGCTTTAAACTAGAAGAAGAAAGATTTAGATTAGATATTGGGAAGAAATACTTCACAGTGAGGGTGGTGAGGCACTGGAACAGGCTGCCCAGAGAAGCTGTGGCTGCCCCATCCCTGGAAGTGTTCAAGGCCAGGTTGGATGGGGCTTTGAGCAACCTGGTCTGGTGGAAGGTGTCCCTGCCCATGGCAGGGGGGTTGGAACTAGATGGTCTTTAAGGTCGCTTCCAACCAAACCATTCTATGACTCTAAGAACTACTTTTTAATCATGATAAGAAGAGCACGAAACTTCCTATTGCACAGGACTTCGGTTGTGCCGCAGAAAAACAGTCAAGTGTGTTTTAGACCTGCAGCTTTATTTTCGTACAAAAGGTTAAAGGCAAAGCTAGAAACAAACCTATTGGTACACGCTCACTGAACGCTTCTAAGACAAGATAGGGCAGTCAAGCTTTTATTGCTAAGAAGAACCAACGGAAGGCTTTAAAGCTTATCTAGCATTCAATTTTTGTTTGCAAGTAACCGAATTTAAAGCAGCTTTTCAGTCTTTAAAACCATCTCGCCTTTCTGGGATGCTTCAAAAAGGAAGATGACCTGAGGACGGTGTCTGCTCTCCAGAGGGACCAGAAGGATGCTCTGCGTGAGGTGCAGAAATGGGCCATGGAGGAATGCTAAAACAAAACCCAGCTGCCTGGCTGTGGACTCCTGCTGATCATTAGACAAGGCAAGACTGCACAGCACCGAGAGACCAGCACCCTGCCATGTGCAAATGCAGCGGTCACACGATGGCCCCTCAGCTGCTCCCGTGCCCCAGTGGCTGTGGCATAGATGAGCACCATGGACTCGCCCCAGGCAGAGCGAGGAGCTGAGCCCCAGGCACGCTGGCTGTGGATGTCCTGCTCCAACTACCACACTGCACCTCCTCCTGGAACGTGAGGCTATAGGCAGTGGGATACTGAACACTCTTGGGATCCCTAATGATCCCGCCAAGGATGGAACTGCT